CACAAGTTCTGCTACAGTTAATGAGTTTAAATTAGATTTAAAACCAAGTCAGGTGAATATATCCTTTGCTCTCTATATATTTTTATTATACCTAGTATATTAAATGATAGAAAACAATGTTTTTCTTTTAATTTGTAAACACTGTTTCTCAGAATATATTTTAGGCCTATTAAAGATTTATGGTGCGTAACTTTTGAAAATCAGAATTTACCATTCACCATGCAGCAGAATTGCTATTAAATAGCTCCAACATGATCTAGATACCCGGGTATGGTGGTCCCATTTTTCATCTGGGGTGTGCAGACAAGGATGAATCAGCGGTGGCAATTCATTGTGCAATGCCAGTTTATACTTTTTCTTCTATTTACTATGTGCATGCCTGAACATCTGAGTACACCCCAAAGATGGATTGAGGTGTGATTAACAGATATCAACAATAGCTTGTACTCTCTTATCTTCTTCTTAAAGGGTTAATTTTGCAGTATAGACTTTTGTTTGGTAGTATAACTTGCAAAGTAAAAACTTCTGTTTATGTTAGAAGAGGTCCTTTGAAGAACTGCATGAGGATCATCCTTATCTGTGTCAACTTTTAAGTGTATCTATCTTGGGGGCTTTTTCATCTTCCTTTGTGGAACATTCAGTCCTGAACGTTCCTCATAAAGGAAGAAAATGCCTCCTGCTTTCCATACGACTCTGCATTGACTTGCTCGTTGTACTTCTTATAGAGGCAGTTACTTCAGATTTGTTTGTTACACTTTTAACCGATTCATAACTGTAAGTTTTGTGTGATGGGTACAGTAATAGCAACATTATAGTGTGTTTTGATACTGCCCTGAAAGCGTGCAATAAGACAGGTATGTATTTGTAATAAACAAATTGGATTTGATTCTCAGATTCCTGATACCCAGTAAAAACCTAGCTTGTTTTCAATGTGTGAAACAGATTTGTGGAGTAGTTTCTTACTTGATTGTCTGAAATTCTCACTGGATTCTGGAGGGAATTTCTTCAGGATATTATACTACACATAGACTAGATTTAAAGCTTAAAGGGAAGCCTTAATTAGTTTTAAGCTCCCACATGACTTTATTGGAGGATTAGAGGTCTGAGTGCTCCTGTATTTTTTTGATAACTGTTATTTACATCAGCATGGTGCTCACACAGAACCACAGACACAGCGTAGAAGACCCAGATAAGAAGTTGCCACGAACTCCTCCTCCAGCATGTGCCCTCTTTTTATGTCTAGTAATCTTTCACCAGCTTTTTATACGTGCATCTTTTGCACATTTCTTCCCTCACACTGATAACTCCCTTGACGTTTTAATTTTCATTTTCCCTCCTCCTTAATTTTTCTCTTTTAAAATACTTTTTTTTTTCCTGTTCCCCCCCCCATTGTCTTCTCACCTCAGGAGGAAGGAGAACCAAGTTGCCTTCTCAGCTGGTTCCTTTTTGTCATCTGTTTTTTCTGACTCCCCACAAGAAGAAGGAAGGGATCTGCAGGTTTGGAAATTGCTGTCCACTGGAACCAGTAAAGCACGGTCCACTGACAACTGGAGCAAATAAGAGTCAGCCTGGAGAGGAAGCAAACTCTAGTGGTTGATAACAGCATGGAAACTATTGCTTTTTGTTTGCACACACATTTTAAATAAACTGCCATTCACAGCGGCCAGGGATTCATATGCCCTTGCTGAACCCCAGACGGGGAATACATTCCTTCTTTCCCCAGCACTGAGCAGATTCTAAACCACAAATGATGTTTGGGTGTCTGCATTTCTGGATGCCTCATATGAGACATCTTAAGAAGGAACTGATCTTCAGAAGCTAGTGCTCAGGTCATTTAACCACTGGTCCTGGCACACTGGTTGTAGCAGCGCACCCCAAATTTGAATCGTAACACATTACTGATCACTTTCACACACGAAAAAAAGCCTGCAGCTTGCTAGCAGTTACTTTAGATGCAAATAAACAGGAAAGGATCCTAATTGTACTTGGGGCTCCTTGTAGGTCATTTACCTTTTGCCCCAGCTGAGAGAAAAATAGTCACATGCAAACCTTTCTAGCCCTTTTTTAGATAACGGTGTATTCTTCACATGCAAAACTAAATTAGCTGTACGCATAATGCAGATTTCTACATACAAATTTAGTCGTATCCCTGTGTTCTAGTTTTCTGCTGGAGCTGGCCTTTCTGTTTCCCAAGCCCTTCTTGGGAGTCAGCCTTCTGCATAGAGCTCACCCGAACTTTCTCCCAGCGCTTTCCAGGAACCACCTGAGTGTTTCCTAACTCGGTATGATCATATCTCAGAGCGAGCTGGCCCCATGGCTTCACCACCAGATAAAAATCAGGCCTCCAATTAAATCATGACTTCAGGACAACAACAGAAAAGGTTCAATAGTTGTATATATTAAAACTCTTACAACTCCTTCAAATAATTTTGTGCTACCTCTGGATTTTCTGTATCCTTGTGTTTTTCTTCAAGATTTCACACTCAGGACAGCGGGAAACCAACACTGTCCATCCAAGTCTTGCTTTTTATTGCTCTGTGATAGAACAACAGCTATTTCTAGGTTTGCTGAGAACATACACAAAAGAAGCCAGCAAGATTTTATGACATTTTTGTAGAACTGCGAAATAAGTAAGAGAAAAAGTGTTGGGGGGTTTTGTGTGATTTTTTTATGAGTGCCACTGTAATACAATAGTCGGTAAAAAAACAAGAAGCATTTTATTTCATTTAATTTCATTCTCCACCATGTGGATCGATTAGTAATTGAATACTACAGATGCGAATATGCAGAGATGACTCAGCTGTGGAATTTGAGATGAATGTCAGTAACAGTTTGTAACGTATTATGTGGGCTTAGCTCTGCCTAATTCCATTAGGAACAATAGGGCAGAAAGCCTTACCCCAAATTCTAAAAAACCCCAACCAAACAAAAAAACCAACCCCAACTTTGGCTATTTTCATATAGTCATCTCAAAGCCATTTGTGGGAAACATCGTGTCCATTAATTTTGCTTGAAAAGAGGAATCCAACCTAGTTACGAAAGTGATGTTTTTGTCAGGTAACAGGAATTATACCACCTGACTGTTTGTATCTAAACCCTCAGAGAGTCCTGCAGGAACCGACCAAGGACTGGTAACAGCTAGTGCTGACCGTGACCCCTTATGCCACGTTTCTCTTTGCAGTGAGCTTTCCAGTGCACCAGCTTTCCACCTATCCAGGGAGTCCTAGCACCCCCAGTCTGAAGTAACAAAGGATTGACTGTAGGGTCACTTCAATCCTAAAAAACATAATTCAAACCCCAAAACAAAAATATGAAGGGCAAACGTTTGTTCTTTATTCACTTTATGAATACTGCATACATAGTATAAAAAAAAACCCAAATGCTTTTAACACCAGTCCCTAATTCTTAGCTCCCTGCTGGAGAACACCAGGAAGGGGTTTTTTGTTGTTGGCTTTTTAAAGAATCTGGCAACGTAGTAGCCCAAGTTGCAGATCTTCCTCGCCTCCAAATAAAGAAGCATAGATGAAGATTCTCAGCTTACCCCTCATTTGAAAAAAAAAAAGGGGGGGGGGGGGGGGGCAAGTGAAGGAACAAAGGCTTTTTCTTAACATTTAGTGCTCAGTTCCACAACCGGTTTATATATAGAGAGCTTCATTCCTGAGACCACATGAATGAGGCTCACAATCAGAGATTTAATGGGAAATACAATTGACTAGCTGCTGTGAAAAACGAGAAAACTATTTACTTTGTACCATGAACAAAGCCGAAGTTGTTCTACCAGTTGCAAAGGCAATGAAGCATTTGCAGTTTGAATTTATATCCAGAGAATCCTTTGATTTTGGGAACTTTTTGCATGCGTTACAAAACAAGAGGAGTTGCCAGATGTTCCATGCTTTTCAAATCCAGTCCTTATTTAATAGCTATAGAACTGTGAATTCAGAAATCTGGGGTTTATGCTGCTAGTTAAAAGGCAAAAAAGCTCTGTGGGTTCTGGCTATGAACACTTTTTCTTTTTTTTGCAGTTTTCTAGTGTATACCTACACCCTCTTGCTTTATGCTTTACAGCTGTGCTGCTTTTGAGGCAGTTTCTTAACTGTATGACTTAAGTATCTGGCATTCATTTTGTTTATTTTAATACCATGGTCTAGCTTTATCCTTATTCACTGTGATACCTTTTAAAAATACTAATTTATGAAAATGTAATAATAATGAAAAATGTAATTTTTTTAATTTACCCAAGTATTACATTAATACTGTTTTCCATCCTATGAACTAAGATTTGTTTATCCACAGTAGGAGCTGTTGGTGCTACTGTGCAGCTGCTGGCATGAATTGAGTTACCGTTTGTTGCACTACCTTCTTGAGACCCACTGAAGTGGCAGTTCAGAGAAGACCATCCAACACATGACTCTTAAAAGTAACTTACCTGAAGAGGTTATTCTTCTATTCTGATTACATTATTCTGCTGTGCTGTAAAAAGAAACTAGTAGAAAATAGAACTGGAGAGTAAGACAGATACGACTGACAAAGAGGGAGGTGTAACTATACAGGCACCGGTGATCTTGGCCAGTTGAGACAGGTAAGCTGATGATACATGAGCTACTTCATTTGGATGCGTTGCTGAGAAAATTGTGAAATTTACCTGCGCTGGGCTATTCTGAAACATATACAACCTAAGAGATCAGGAAAAATACAGAATCAGGATGGGATATTCAGGTTACTGAAAAGCAAGTTTGACATTTAGAGTATTCAAGCTCCGTTTGCTTCCATGTTCTTAGCAATCTGGGAAAAATTCTGCTATGAAAAAGAGTGTAACTAAGTCAGTTCAGTTGATGATACAGAAATTCTGGAATTAAACTGCAATGCTGCAGAGATTGTTAGTGATAATTCAGACTGCTATTTTTAAATTAAAGGATGAAGTGGACATAACTTTGCTTCATTCGTTTCACAGTATTTTTTCTATAGTCTCAATGCTAACCTACCTGATAGTGCAGTATTTTATCATGACTTTTGCATCTGGAAATTACATACATTTTAAAGAAATGTAAAACAAAAGACACAACTACAATCACTCAGAAAATTGTTTGTTTTAAGGTACAGGGTTCCAATTTCACTAAAAGGAAGGACTACTTTAATTCCACGTGTACTGAGACCTTGTCTCCAACTACACATAACAAATACACCCTAATAAATTTAAAGAACCAAACATCAGTAGAAGCTAATCTTACAATAGAGACCAGTTCTCTACTACTGAAATTTGCATTTTCCTAATTTGTTTAAAAAAACCCAAAACAAAACAACTTGGTCCACAGACAAAGTAAAATGGGTAAAAGTAAGTCTCAGGTGAGCGAACGTTGTCCTTTTTATTCATTTCCAGTTGTAGCGGTCCCTTGGAGGTAAGTCATAATGTGTTCTCTCTTCCTCTTCAGGTCCATAATCTAATGGCAGACCATAATTGTAATCAACTGTAACAACTGGTAATCTTTTACTTTGTTCCATCTCTCTGGTAGTTTCACCTTGAAAAGGTTTTCTTTCATAGTCTATTGAAGTATCTTCTTGGTGTACAGATGAAGATGGATGCATTGTTCGTGAAGAATATGGTGCAAATCTGTTTTTTCCTCTATTAAATTCATCTGAGGGATGCATTCTCCTATTGTCTTCAGGACAATTTGGTCGATTACTGTAAGAAGAACAAATATGAACAGTGAAATCCTTAGAAATAAAACAGCTGATTTATAGTTGGTGGCCACCATTAGAAACTAAACTTGTGTAACTTTGAAAGAACAATTCAGACCCTCATTCTTGTTTTTATCCCCTAAAATTAAAATCCTCTCTACTGGATGTTGCAAACTTGTCTATATTAATTTTTCGATTCTAGTGGTTAAAATTACAGCTCTTTATAGTAAGTAATTCTACTAGAAGATGTTTTGTTTCAAGTGCTGTTTCTAATTAAAATTCCCTGTTTACAGAGTTTTTCTCTACCTAGGGGCCATTTTTGTTCCTAAGCCTATGTTTTCATTTTTGTGAATAATGTGTAATAGTAGCTCCCTAGTACATAGTATCAACAGGCAATAATATACTTTGGATTTATATCTCCAAACATTTTAATTATTAATTCTTCTGCAATAGAAGAATCACTCTCCTACAAAATACATATGGAAGGATCTAAAAATGCATATATGATAGATATGCTTTTTGTTTTGGATTCTCTTTACTCTCAAGTACCTTCCTTACTTTGTAAAATAAGTGGTGTATAAAGCCAATTCAGAACAATCTTTGTAATTTTAAAATCTTCTCCCTCACTGAACCATAGATTAATTCAGACTGGAAAGGATCTCTAGAAGTACCTAGGGATACCTGCTCAAAGTAGGTCTAATTAGATGAGTTTGTGCATGGCCATGTCCAGCTGAGTTCTGAGCATCTCAAAGGATGGGGATTTCACAGCTGCTCTGGGCAACCTGTTTCCGTGTCTGACCACCCCACGCAGTAAAACTCATTAGCTTGTTGTAGACAGTAGTTAAGAGTTAAATATAGCATCTGTGTTTTGCTTTTTTGCTTACTGACAATAGCTTTTCATACTTTGTAGTACGTTAGCTTGAACTGTCCTTGTCACGACTTATGTCAGGGATTCTCAAACCATTTCATAACCACACTCAATATAGATGGACCACAAGTGAGTCACATTATTTGCTCAGTGTTCATATTCAATGGTTTAAACTGCATTTAAGCAAAAATATTAACATCAATTTTTACACTGTGCAGTTAATTTGTTTCTTTTTCTAGCTGGGAAACTGGGGGAATAACAGTATAAAGGTAAGTCAGAAAACAATGTATGAAATCTGATATTTACCTGTAACTTCTGTTAAAGTCATCATTATCAGACCCATAATCTCTCTGAAGTGAAGGAGATGAAGAGAAATGAGGTTCTGGTACATTTTCATGGGAAGAAAAAGACTGACTTCTGCAAATAACCAAAAGAATCGCATGTTAAGAAAAGTACAAATGGTTGTAAGCTTTTGAAAAATATGCGTTTATCAAATGAGATAAAAATCTTTTTACTTTTAATTAAAATTTACTTAAAAGTTTAATAAAAACTATCCCAATTGTATTAACACCTCAAAATGGTATGCTTCATTGTAATGATATAATATCCTGTTTCAGCTGTACAATGGAAGAGATTAAATTGAACTTTACTAGCCCAACAAATATCTGAAATGCATTCTGAAATATTAAAAATATTTTGAAATACTATGTCAGAATCCAATAGGTTTACTAATAAGTGATATATATATTTGGGAGAATATAATGCAGGTTCAGAAGCAAAGGGATTTCTAAAAAATTATTAACTCATGGAATAAACAAATGCAAGTCAAACTTCCTTGTAGCATTACTGTTTATCTCTGTTTGGCTGAGGGCATAAATAAAATTTTGTATTGTCTTCTCTCTTGAGGATTGCTTTTTAAATGTAAGTTTCTATACAAAACAAAGTGGGACAAAGAGTTTTCTTTCAAGCTGACTCTAAAAAGGTAAAGGAAACACATAAGCTTTAATTTAAAGGAGCACAACCTTCTAATTTAGGAAACATTGGCTTTCAAAGCTGCAACACTCCAGCTTACAATCAAACCCTTCTGTAAGTCAAAATAAAAAGAGTTAATTAACCGATCGTTTATATATGATTTTAAAAGAATGATTAATTGATTTAAAATTAATTTATTTTTAAAAGTTAATTAATTTGAAATTTAATTTAAAAGTGCTGAGGTTTACGTTTTTATTCTCTAATTCTGGTCTTACAGCTCAAGGATACTTTACCTGTCTGAACACCATTCACGTGGCAAGTCATCGTGACCTGGATGATCGTGAAAAGGTTTTGGCCTTTGTCCATGCCCTTTATTAATATAATCAAAATCTTTTAACTGAGTCTGTTCCTGTAAGTCATCATAAGGCTGATGGTCATGAAAAGGTCTACGCCTTTGTCCAGGACCTTTATTATCATAATCTTTTAGTTGCATCTCTGTTTGTAAGTCATTGTGAGGCTGGTGATCATTGAAAGGTCTCAACCTCTGCCCACGACCCCTATTAACAAATTCAAAATCTCCCAATTGCATCTGTGGCTGTAAGTCATCATGTGACTGATAGTCATGGAAAGATCTCAGTCTTTGGCCAGGACCTTTGTTGACACACTCTAACTCTTTCAACTGCATCTGAGTCTGAAATTCATCATGAGGTTGGTGGTCGTGGAACGGTCTTCGTCTCTGGCCACAGCCCCTGCTACCAAAATCATAATCCTTTGACTGACTGTCTTCCTGCAAATCACTGTGAGATGGATGGTCAGGAAAAGATCTCTGCCTTTGTCCACGGCCTCTGTTAAATTCAATGTCCCTCGATTGTCTCTCTGCCTGTAAATCATCATGAAACTGGTGTCCATGAAAAGGTCTCAACCTTTGTCCAGGTCCCTTGTTACTGAAGTCTAGGTCCTTCAGCTGCATGTCTTCTTGATAATCATCATAAAACTGGTGATCAGGAAAGGGTCTTTGCCTCTGTCCTGGTCCCCTACTGTAGTCCCAATTTCTCATCTGCATTGGTGCTCTTAAATCATCCTGAGTCTGATGGTCATGAAATGGTCTTCGTCTTTGTCCAGGTCCCTTATTAATGAAATCAAAATCTCTCAACTGTATCTGTCCTTGCAAATCATTGTGAGAGTGGTCATCATAAATTCTTAATCTTTTCCCAGACCTGTAAAGAAGTTTTTGTCTTAAATAGAACATCATACTTATAAGTACTACAAGTCATTAATGAAAACAAGTTTTTTTAACTGAGAATTGATATGAAAGACATTGCAAGTATATAGGTATCAAAGCTACTAAGAACCCAAACTATAAGATTATAAAACTTTCAATGTCATAGTAGAAGCTGTGACAAACATTCAATTGTAATTCTATAGCGCTGTTAAACAGGCAAACCCAGTGATTCAAAATTATTTAAAAATAATTGCAGATTACTGTAGAGTAATAAAGAAGGACAGGCAAAGTAAAACTCTAAATTTTTCCAAGTGAACTAATTACGGACTTCTAATAGCACACATTCTCTTTCTTTCCCTTACCTTTTCACTGTTTCATGAAATTCTGTAAATATATTTTGCATGAGTAAGCTATATTCATAAAATCTCTTTTAAATTAGAGTATCTACAGTATTTTCAATAAAAAACAATTATCTTTCCCACAGTGTGGTTTTTTTGGCTTTTGATTCCATGTTTCAGCCTATTACCCCTGAAAATCTTCATTTGGGAACCGCTCTACATGTCCTTCCATTGCATGTGGTGGGGGAATAATATCTTCATCTGAATCCCATACATCCATTCCAAGGTTACTAAGAGGAATAAAAACATGTCACATAAGCTTCCTTTTTTAAAACATATCATTGAGAGAGTAAAAAACCCACACAAATTCTTCAGTTTGGAATGACAGAAATTTTTGTATGTTAAGTTAAATTTACAGACATTCGTAACTTAGTAAATTTTAATCTTGTAAATTTATTTGGGGAAGGGCTGCAGGGAAAGCAAAGAGAATACCTAAACTTCATAAGCTTGGACCAACATCCTAAAGGATGCGAGACAAGCACCATACCTATTCAAAAATCTGACACAGGACTAACTTAATCATGCACAGACTATAAAACAATGATAGCAGTAAAACAAAGGGCTTTCAATTAAACTAAAAAGACGCAAATCAGTCAGGTATTATTTTAAAATCAATCTACTGCTACAAGGTATCATTCGCACAAACAACTTAGGAAGACGTAAAGGTTAGCTATTCTTAGGTGAATATGATAAGCATAAAATTCTTACGCATCAGCGATACAACTACTATGAACACAGGAGTTGAGAACATTCTTCCACCTTCCCATACTTTTTTATTCCTAAAACTGTTGTACTTTTTTTTTAAAGTATCTGGTTCTATCATGCCAACAGCAGACAGATCATAGACCTTACAAAGAAATCTTTGCAGTGGCTCTTTTCAGCTTATAAAGAAAGAATACAGACTCAGTACACTTGTCATAGTATGATAAAACCACACCAATGTTCAATAGTAGTTGTCAGATTAAAAAAATCTTTTGAACTATATAAATTCAAAAGATGAACGAAGGAAGTACACTGCACTTCATGTTATTCATATCAGAAGTCTTACAATATATGTGTAGTTGCATATTAAAGGTTTAAGGGAGGGTTAATTTTGGCTTATGACTGGAAGTGAACTTTTCAAAATACCAGTAGACATACTGGAAAATCTTACCCATGCAACTAAAAGCTTTTGTTTACCTTCTCATTGGTTGTGTTCTGAGATCTGTGAGATACACAAGACCATCCATGCGATGACCTCTAGGCATCGCCAAAAGCTAAGAAAAAAGACACAAATCTAATGAAATGTGCTCAAACTGAGCCACAAAAATGTGAAAGGCAACTTTCTGTTCACCATGAGATGCTGAATTTGAAACAATTCTAACCTGGTATTAAATACTTCAGCAAGCTGGCAATGTTGCAGCATTTTTTTTAAACAACTGAAACTAGTAGTGGTAGCAACCTATGACTGAAAACCATTCAAAACAAAAGGAAAAAAAAAAGATAAAAAGATTTTAAGCAGCTGAAACATACTCCTACTATGCTGTCAATTTGCTAATGCTGAAGCCTTGCCTGGAATAGAATCAACAGTCAGAAAATCTTCTATGGAAGCCAGCAAATGAAGTAACTCTAAGGATACTAAAATAGAATGGTAGTATTTGTGAATACAATTGTAGTAATTGAGAATTACAACCTAACATGTGCCTCAGTTCAAACTGTATAAATACCTTGGATTGCTGCCTCTGGATCCCAGCCTTCAACATCTATAAGATATCTGAAGAAAAATATGATTATTGTCCCAAAGGGATTACAGGTTAATGTATCTTTTGTGAACAATGATTTCTGTTTTTATACAACCCTTACCTACATATAAGGTAGCCAGTTCTATTGATTCCATTAGTACAGTGAACGCCAATGAGTTTCTCTATCAAAAAGGAAAACAGTCTTTAATAGTTCAGAATGTGAAATTACTAAAAAATTAGTGCAAGACAAAAAAAAAAAGCTGTACTTTTCTAGCAAAGTAATGACATAATGCTTGCTATTTACAAAATTATACTGTCACGCCTGTAAAAGAACAGACACATCCAGACTTTGTCCTCTTCATGCCGGATCTCTAGCAGAGTTAGCTCACTACTTCCAAACCTGTGAAGACTGAGATTAACTCTGCAGAACGTAGGAAAAAAAGAAAGAGGAGTGATGACAGGTAAAGTGGCTGGCCTCAGCCAGAACTGCAGGAACAGCAGAAAAAGAATAAAATACGGTTTTGAAAGCAAATCTAAACAAGCAAATGTAAAATTGAGGAACTTAACTTACAGATTCTCGTAAAACCTACCAAAAGGAGAAAATAAACATAATACCCCAGTGTCTAGGAATATGAAATACATTACTAGAAGAATTCATTTAACTGGACTAAAAATTTGGATCATTACTGGGATGAACCACAGAGATGAGGAATTGAGGTTCATGTATGGAGAAAAGAGCACTCTAATTGGAAACAGTAATCTCTAAAGAAATCTTGTCTTTTTTGGAAAGGTTATACTAATCAGCTAAAGGCTAAAAAGCAGAATAACTTACTATTATTAGGGTGTTTCAAATGAGGTATTTCCAACAGAAATAGGGAAACACTAATATGGTCATGCAAGGCACTGATAAAACCTCATCCAGACTATTCCATACAATTCTAATTACCCATATTTAATGAAAAAAAAATTGAAATATGTATAGAAAGGGCTACTATAATGGTCACAAAAAAAGTTTGAGATGGGATCTAGGAGGCTTGTCTTAGTCTGTAAAACCAAATCTGAGATACTGAATATAATAATGGGCATGGAGAACAACAATACTTAAGGGCAAAGTTGGCATAAGAATAAATGTGTATTAACTGATTGAGAGTTTTAGGCTAGATTTTAGACGAAAAACTTTAATCATCAGAAGAACAAAGTTGTGGCAGAGACGAAGTACTGACAGTGTCTTTGAAATGGGACTTTGATAAATTTTTGAATGAGATAAAATACAGCTGTATGCCACAGAACAGGACAGTCACATTGCAACGTAAGTTTATTTTGGTGTCCTAACTACTCAGACACTAAAAAACCCCCAACTTCTCAAATATTTTATGTAAGAACAATATTGAGAAATTTTAGGGGTAGTCTAAAACAGAGGGCAAGTTACAAACGAGTAAGTTAATATAAAAATGAAAGTTCTCCCAACCCTGAAGTTACATAAACCCTGTCAAAATGGTCTTACTAGCTGAAACTGCAGGTCTTCATCCAGTAACAAATTAGGAATTGATTCTCTCAATTCTGAGAATCAGAAATAATTAGATTAAAATACAAACTATTCTTTGTCACACGAAAAATCACTAGATCAAAACTAGAAGAAAACTAGTAATTTCCAAGTAATTTCCCTAAGCCAAAAAAGAGCAAAGGAAGAACTTACACACTAACTTCCTGAGCAAGGACAAAAGCTGCTTCTTATACCTTTTAATTTTCAGAGCACTTTTAATTCAGGCTCTCATACCTGAGATTTAGGTCAGAGCTCTTTCACAAAACAGAGCTGACCATCCACAGCAAAACCACGGTTATGCTCTGCAGCAAAAACTGTATGCACTTGGGCAGTTAATATCTCTACTTTCTCACAGAAAATGCCAAAGTAACCACAGCAAATAGCATGAAAAAGCTTGAAAGAAGCTATTGGTCCTTCAATATTGGATAGACAAACAGTTGAAATCTGCCCACAAAGAATCACTAGCAAAAAAAGTGAGAAGGTAAAAGCTGCAAACAGGCTGTGGCAAAATACACGCAAATTTATTTCTGCAAAAAGCGCCTTATACCATCCCAGCAAGAACTGTACTATTGCATAAACACTGAAACAGCAGCAGATCTACACTGTGGAAACATTGACACTGTGTCTGTAATATCATTTTTAAGAATTGCTAGGATATGAGGGCAATAATGGACTCATAAATCAAAAAACTGCTACGTCAGACTAAACCGACTTAAGTTGCTCACATGTATCAGCGCCTATTGCCATCAGAGAAACCCTGTGCCATTTAGAACATCCATAAGGGGCTGGCAGCTGCCCCCGATGGTAGACAACCTGGGTCAGACAGATGAAAGCCTTGTTGCAGTTGCTTTGACACACAACGCAAATATAATACTATTAGGAAGGGCATTTAAGTTACTAGTCATTTTTGAAAAAGACATGTATTGAATGCAAAAAAGATATGTAGTGCTTCACATAATGTATCTTATTATGATAGCAAAGTGGAAAGTGCTATGGAAGGTCTGACATCCCTGGTGTCTGAAATATCTATCGAAATTAATAAATGATACAGTTAGCTCTGAAATAAAATTTTCGGGTTTTTACAGCATAAGATGCTGATATTTACCATTTCCCGCATTTTCCCACAGGAATTTTCTGACCCATTTTTTGAACTGTAGGATAGTAGCATTATCGGGGACTTCAAGTCCAACAGTATAAAGTTTCTTATACTGCACACTTTTAGGTAAATCCTAGCAACAAGAAGAAAAAAATAGTAAAAATTATTGAAGTCTTGCACAATGAAAAACCTTAAGGCGTATCTAACATAATGCCAACGTAAAACAATAGTTCAAATCCTGAATAGAAACTGAAAACAATCTTGACACAATTCTATAGAGATACACTCTCAGAAACTACCATTTACATTTCCACTTTAAAGACCTGACCTCAAACAAAGAACAGTTTCAACATAAGACTTATTTATCTCTGCTAATAAGGCAGCACATTAACTAGAGACCAGATTCTTGTAACTCCATTCTAACCCATTTTACAATTACTAGTGATATTTGTCCCTCCCACCCACAATCATATATATACTCACATACTCACGCCCTTAATGCTTACAGCCCACGTACGTTCAAAGATTAACATTGTTATCACACTGCTATTTATTCTCCTTTTCAATAGGAGGCTGATTAATCACAATTGTTTGGACCATACTGGTAAAAAATTTTAAATTAATAAAGTAGTTTAAAAATGTACACTTTCTTAGTGGATTCCACTAAAGATCAGTAAAAAAAGACCCTAGGAATAAATGAGAATGTCTTCAGGGCAAGACTGTAAGCCTTCTGCATCTTTTCTGCGGTGCCTGGCACTGAAGTCTGTATCCATTATTCTGAGTTACTGTAATACAAATAAGCCACAAATGCAACTAGCTGGGAGGAGGAGTTATTTCCTCTGTGATAAAGCATTTAGTTTCTATTGGAGACACAAAATAAGTCTAGATGGCTCACTTGTCTATTCCAATTCAAGGTAAGCAAATGCGTAAATACTTTAAAACAGAGGTTGCAGTAACTAGCTTATTTTGTTATTATGCTTATATTACCTTAACTTCATAGTATCGCGTGGTATATGTTAAATCAATAATTAATCTAAGCTCCACATTTAGGGCTTTCATTGCAGCAATTAAGTCTTTTGGTGTAAATTTCTGGGTTGGGGTAAGCCTCTGGTTAATTGCCTACAATGAAAACGGAAAAGAAAGATTCTCTTTTTAAGTTAAAATAATATGACGTTTGTAATATTCAGCTGTTTTAATTAGGACTAGGAAACATCAGTATTCAAAAGGGAATGTTTACAGTATCAGAACTATATCCATGTATTATATGGTTAAAAATTAAAAGGAGCCAAATAAAAGAAAGCAAGAATTTGTTGTGTATTCCTATTCAGATGAAAATGCAAGAAAACGTGAGAATTTCCACTTGTACAATGTTAACAAACATTATTAAAATAAGCACTAATTTGATAGACACAAAGATCCTGCAAAATGCAGCATGTATATACTGATTTTTAAGTAACTAAACATCAGCAAAAAGTAAAACACCACAATCCCCTTTCCCCCAAACATATTTTGTCCTGCACAGTAACACAAAATTAACAGTGTATTTCACATAAAACATTAGAAGTTGTGATACAAGAGTTCATTTCTTCCAAAGGTTTTAACTTTCTCCCCACAAATGTTGTGCAGACATTTTTATCCCTGCTTCATCTCTTGGCAGAGTGTACTTGCATGTCCTTTAGCATTGGGAAATATAAGACTAAAATACGGTGACTAAGAAAGCTGCATGTTGGTGGGTAAAGAATAATTAATTTCATTTGACAGAAACAGTGGGGAAAAATGTTTACTCACCCTATTGTAGCTGTGCTTTTTGAAATGTGTTCTTCACTCTAGGTATGAAAATGCCTCATATACGCAAGACTGGATTTTCTCTGAATAGTGCGCTTGTCCATTGTGAGAGCCTTTTGACACAGGCTCAGCCACAAACAATAAAGACAGTGGCAAAAGATGCAGCAGCCTCAACCACCTCTCAGTTCCTTTGTCAACAAGAAATTCAAGCAGACTGGACTCAGAACTAATGGAAAGGAAGGCAGCCACAGACCACACACCTCTTAGAACCACAGATGCTATAGCGTAACTAACCATTCCTTCTTTTGATTGTACGGATTATGATCTAAGATGCTAGCAAGCACTTATCTCAAGTCTGGAAACGGACACAGAAAACCAAATTAAAGAATAAACAACAGGACAGTCCTATCAAAGCTGGTATGTGATTAGGAAGCTTGAGCTAAAAAGAGTAGGGTAGAAAGCTTATAGAAGTATTCAGTCCTATGTGTTTCAGATACTGGTGCACTGCTGAAAAAACAGTGGAGGTTGTTGAGGTTCAAACAAAAGGAACAAGAGTCAGTTATCTCACTGCTATTCAGCAGTGATTTTTGGTAAAATCTGAAACTGAACTTACTAACTTTGAGGTGACAACAGTGAATCTGCAAAGGGTCTATGATAGAAAGTTAAAGAATTTTTTCTTTTACTATGTGAAGTCACACAAACTGAGGTGGAACACAATTTCCAAAATAAGATATGTCTAAACATATTGCTTGATTGACC